AATTTTTTATTTGTTGTAGAGATGAGGTCTCACCAAGTTGCCCGGGCAGGTCTCGAACCCGCGGGCTCAAGCAATCCACTCACCTCAGCCTCCCAAGGCACGGGATTACAGGCTGAGCCACCGAGCCTGGCTAGGAAGGGTCAGTTTTGACGGAGCGGGGAGAGCTGGCCTGGCCCCCCTCAGATTCACTCAGGCCCGGGTCCGAAGGTTACTCACTGCTGTCAGCCAGGAGGAAGCTGCTGCACTCCTGGGAGTGGTTGCCAGATGGGTCTGTCAGGTTGACACTGAAAATGTCATCGGCCATGAAGCGGAACACATCCATGTGGCACGTGTACGTGGCATGCGTGGCGTTGTGGGTGGACCTTTGGAGGCTGCAGGAGGTGGCCCCGTCCTCCTCTCCATGCAGGTCTTGCCTTCAAGGACAGAGCAGCTGGTCACGGCTGGAGGCCAGGGCATGGGCTCAATGCTCAGTGCTCTAGGGCAGAAGCCCAGAATCCCAGGGCTGGGAGGGATGTGAGGTGGGGCTGGGGGTCACCTGGTCCAACAAGCCCTTTCCCAGGGAAGGCATCCCCTCCCCTGCAGCATCCCTGATGGACTGTGTCCAGGCTCGACTTGCATGCCTCCATGGGACCAGGAACTCACTACCTCGCTTAGGGCAGGAGGGCTCAGTTTTGGAGTTATCGACCCTTTCTTTCTCCCGCCAAGCCTAAATCTGTCCCTGTCAGTTCCAACAAGAGGATCATGGTCCTACAGGAAGGGGGCTAAACATTTGCGGTTTCCTTCCCTCCTTTCTGTCCAACACCCACCGGATGCCTAGGAAGGGCTGAGGGCTGAGCTCAGAGCCAAATGAACTTGCTCCCCTGCTCTAGGTGAACTTCCGGGGAAGCTGGTGGGTGCGGTTGGGGAAAAGGCCCTGGCTTTTAGCTCCCACCAGAGAGAAACAATGGGTTTTGCATTAGGTATAGGAGCTCACCAGGTATTTATTTCCCTACCTACACGTTCAGAATCAGAACATGCCCACCCTCCAAGCCCAACAGAGATGCGTGGACTGAGTTCTTTGCCAAATTCGCGGGAAGAGAAACTCCTGCGGAATAAAGGGTCTCCGAATGTCCAGCCTGGACCGCCGTCAAGGCCGCCTGGCAGTGACTCCGCTTCACCTGCCCTCCCTGAAACCTACCCCTCCCACACAGCAGTGGGGGACCTGTGAAAAGTCGCTTCTTCTGCCCTGTTGATCTACGTGTTTAGCCTGTTACCAACAAAAATCTAATAAAAATAGTCTCTGACGTCCCCGCCTAAAACCCATCAGCGGCTCCCCGCAAGAGCTCCCCGCCTGGCCACGCCCACCAGCTCCAGCCACGCCCTCTCCGCCGCGGCCACGCCCACCTGGCCACGCCCTCCTTGGTCGCCGCCCCGCCACACACACACACTCGCCAGCGCCGCCCTCAGGATTTTGCCCTCGGTGCCCTCGGCCTGGAGTGTCCTTCCCGCTGCAAACTGGCTACCCCCTTCTCATCCCGAGGTCACCCTGGCTGAAACAGACCCCGAGTCACGCAGTCTCTCCCAGGGGCCCGTTCTTTCCAGCGCTTATTGGCATCAGAAGGTCTCCCAGCCATGCCCTACTCAGCTCCAAGACATCTGAGACCTTGCCAGTCCTGAGTTCCCGGTGCTGGTGTCTAGCAGGAACTGAATACTGTGTTTCAGATGAATGAAGGAGCGAATTGCTGGATAACAGAAGGAAGGGCAGTGCTTCTTGATCCTGAGCTGCATATGGACTAGGAGGGACACATGGAGTAGGGAGCTGGGTGGTCTGAGTTGGAATCCGAGCTTCACCGCTCATTGGCTGTGTGACCTTGAGCAAGTGGCTTAACCTCTCTGAACCTCAGTGTCCTCATCTGTAAAATGGGAGTAGGGATTATGATCCCTACTGAATCACCATGGCAGGGGGCCTGGCATTCGCTAAGTCCTTGAAAAATCATGCAGGAGACTGGCCGAGTGGGCGAGAGCATGCGACCCTTGAGCTGGACAGGGTAGCCTGCAGCCTCCTAGCCGTGTGCTCGGGCAAGTCCTGAGCGGTTGTCTGAAAGGGGACCACAGGGGTCCTCAGCTCACAGCGTCTTCCTGGGGTGGAAACGCTGGCGAGCCCCCAGGAAGCGGCAGCTACTCTTGTTGCCAAACTATGTGCCAGGCACACAGTAGGTCAAGCCCGTCTGTGTCTCCTGTGGCCCTGTCCACCCCAGCCCTGCGGGTACCCCGAGTCATGTCCCCTGGCTGCTGAGGCCCAGCCACTTACCAGGTAAGGGTGAGCATGCCGGGGCGGAGGGTCCACATTTCCAGGATGCAGGTGACCGTCTGGAGGTAATCAGTGTAGCAGATGATGTCCTGGCAGCCCCAGCCTGGAGGGCCAGGGGGCGGGGGAGAGGCCTCAGTGGGGAGCCCAAGGAGGCTGAGAGTGTCCCCACCCCCTGAGGGCTGGACCACGAGGGGCTGGGCCTCAGGGCGGGAAGGAACATGGAGACTTGCTAAGATGAAGCCCTGGGACCAGGGGCCTTTGCAGTGGGAATTCTGAGCCCTGACATTTCGAGGCTGGCTGCGGAGACAAGACTCTCGCAAGGTGAGATACGATCAGCTCAGAGCCCTGTCACCAGCCACCAAGTCACTGTCCCTCCCAGCCAGGCTCTCACTCAGAATGGTGCGTCCTGAACTCCCCGGACACAGGGTGAACCGAGCACGTCCCCGAGGGGTCAGGACCTCTCGGAGTCCCTGAAAGTGGTGCCGAGAGCCGGGCTCGGTGGCTCAACCTGTGATCCCGCGCCTTTGGGAGGCTGAGGTGAGTGGATTGCCTGAGCCTGCGGGTTCAAGACCCGCCTGGGTAGGCGAGACCTCATCTCTACAATAAACCAAAAAATCAGCCAGGCGTGGTAGCGCATGCCTGTAATTCTGGCTACTTGGAAGGCTGAGGCGGGAGGATCCCCAGAGCCCAGCAGGCAAGGCTACGGTGGCCGGGAGTGGCCACTGCACTGGGCGACCGAGTGAGACTCCAACTCAAAAAAAAAAGAAAGAAAGTGGTGCCGAGAACACCAAAACTCCCTGATGGGAGGAGCCCTCAGCCCTGCAGGACATACATCCTCAGAGACGCAGGAAGTGCTTCCAGGGGCAAGAAAACTGGAGAAGATGGAGAAGCCCTCGAATGCTTTTGCAAAAATGTCTGTTGTTTCCTATGGCCAAAAATGACCCCACCACCGCCACCCAGGAGTGGGCAACATGTTCTCCCATCAGGCAATATCGTTGGGAGATTTAATACCTTCTCACCCACCCCCAAGCATTAATTGCTTCACTCTGTTCTAAAATATAGGTGCAGACTGGGCATAGTGGCTTGTGCCTGTAATCCCAGTTACTCAGGAGGCCGAGGTGGGCCGTGAGGGTGCCCCTGCACTCCAGCCTGGGCGACAAAGTAAGAGCCCAACTCAAAAATAAAAAATAGATATAAAATATCGGTGCAATCAAAATCTAAATTTTGTTCAGTGTTGGACAGGATAAACTTAATAATTGGTAGTTTTGTTCTGTAAAATCAAGTGCCACTATTTCTATTTACTAGAAACTTGTTCCCCACTCTGGAGATTCATTTTCAGTGGCTTTTTCCTATTTTCCCCTGACTGGTGAAGACCATGAGGTGGTGGCACGTTTCTTTCCTGGGTCTCATTCCAGGTCAGAACCCCGACTCGCAGCCAAGAACACCGTGGCTGGAAGCAACCCTTGGTCCACTCCCAGCCCAGTGCAGAGATGAGAACACGGAGGCTCCAACACGACACCCCACTTTTGTCTCTCTCTTGGCCGGAGCTGCTGAGACGCTCGCCCAGGGAAGGTACCAGCTAGCCTTCTGTGCAGGTTTTCCACAGCCATACCCGTGGCAGACATCGCTAATCGATCACGGCACTCTTTCCCCTGGGTGTGGCCTCGGGAACCTTCCCACCACCGTTCTCCAGGCAGTTGCTACCGAGGGGTCTGACTGAAGTGAGTGAATCTTGCTCTAGGAGGGAGCTTTCCTTGGGTAGGCACACGGGGCCTGTCGGGGGCCAGTTCCAGCACTCTGCAGAAAAGAGAGCTGATTTTGGCAGAACCTAAACCCAGGGCCTCAAGCAGCTGTGTCTCCTCTGAGTCTAGATCCTGGCGGTTCTTCCCCAGGGCTCTGGGAACTTGGAGGGGAGCTGGCGTTCCTGGCTGGGCTCAAGGCTGCCATGGGACAGGGTTTGTCCCTAAACATTGGTGCATGGAACAGCAGCCTCCAAACTGGCATGGTGATGGCACTGGGGACCAGAGGGCCCCCCGGTCACAGGGCAGAGGCCTCAGGGCAGGAACATCCCGTCCCTGGAGTGATTAAAGCAGGCAGGAAGCAGCAAGAGGCACGCAGGTTGGCTGTGCAGCCCCCCGGCTCTGTGGCCATGCCACCTCCGTCTCGTAGCCGTGCCACCCGCCCCTTGGCTCTGTGACTGTGGACATGTGACTCAAGATGCCGGTGCTCCAGAGGTTGTGGAAGGGTTGAGATGAGCTCACACAGCTGCCGGGCACCCAGGATATAGAGCAGGACACGGTGGTGAAGACCACGCTATGGTTTGAATGTCTGTGAACCCCAAAACGCGTGTGTTGAAACTTAGGGGTAGTGTTATGAGTGGGGCCTCCAAGGGTTGGACCATGGGGCTCTTCCCCATGAGGGGAATTGGTGTCCTTATAAAAGGGCTTCCGGAAGTGAATTCAGCCCCCTTTGCCACGTGAGGACGTGGCACTCAAGGCAACATCTTTGGGCCCTCGCCTGGCAACAAACCCACTGGGGCCTTGATCTTGGACTTGTCAGCTTCCAGAACTGTGAGACATACTTTTCTATTATTTATGAATTGTCCAGCCTCAGGAATTTTGTTATAGCAGCACAGATGGGCTGAGACAGACCGTGACAGTCAGACCTGACCCCAGCTCTGCCACGGCCCACTTGTGTGGCCATGGCCCTGTCCCTTATCCTCTCCGAACCTCAGTTTCCTCAACTGAAGACTGGGCATCACTGCAACGTGGACCTCACGGGGCTGCTGGGAAAAGGACTGAGATGATGCTGGGGCTCAGTAGACAGCAGGGGCTGGTTATCTGCTCTCACTAGGTGCGGAGCCATTGAGGCAGGGGCCCTCCTAAGCACAACAAGATATGGGCCTTCCCAGAATAGAGACAGGATCCTCCTAGCACCATAAGATAAGGGCCTTCTTTAAAAAATGTATGTTAGTGAGAAAGGAATGTGTCCCAAGCTGTAGTGCGCCTGTGTGACCCTGCTGCAACCTTGAGCTGTGAAATACCCAATCACAGTGTATGTTACCAATATGTGACCTTAGAAGGGGGACAAAGAAGCTTGAAGTGTATAGAAGGCAATGCCCCCCTGGGCTCTGGGCTCAGCCCTTGGATGTGAATCCGCAGAGCCAGTGCCGGCACGAATAAACACTGCTTCCTGGCAAAGAAGCCTCGGTGTCCCGTCTCTCTCTGTAAAATCCTGCCACACCGTGGCGGGCAGGCTGGGACAAGGATGCTCGCCACTCAGAAGGGGAAAATGAAGCCAGCCATCTGTTTCCTGAAGGAGCTATTTGGGGCCCTGGGTCTTTGGGTAAAAACCAGAGAAAAATGCCAATGAGTCAGCAGAGCAGCGGTTCCTCCCCTGCCCTAGGCCAGCCTCCAGGCCAGCCCGGGGTTGCATCCCTCCTCCTCACGGCCCCTTCCTCCGGTAAGGCCTCCTGGCTCTCTCAGTCCTGGCCAGCGTTCCCGCAGGCCAACACTGCTCTCTCTGGCTGCAGCATCTTTTGGTCCTCCGGGAGGGGGCTGCCCTGCAAAGACTTCGGCTCCTTTTGTCTCTACCCGCTGCCCTCCCCCAAACAACCGCGCCTGCTGAGGACCCAGTGATGATTTAAAAACATCTCCGAGGAGAGTCATTACATAAGGAGAAACCGAGGTTAGACCAAAGGCAGGACTTCCTCACTCTGAGGGTTGGCAGCTAGCCAAAGCAGAGTGCAGGGGAAACCATGACGTTTCTCAGCCCTGCAGGTAGGCGGGCAGACCCAAGCCCGTGGGCTGCAAGTGTGCCACTTCTGGCGGATGGCACTCTTCAGCTGGGTGGGTCCCGGGTAGCGGAGACCTGGCAGCTCGGCTTGCAGCAGCCTCGAGTGGACGGGCCCATGGATGCTGGGACTGTGGACTCCTGCCACGACCCGGAGCCCACACGGCTGGCTGGGCCCCGCCCTCACTGCAGACACGGGACAGCTACTTACCGCCCTGGAGCACCAGCAGGAACAAGAGGGCAGCCCAAACACACAGCATGCCGACTCCCAGGCCTGCAAGAGACGCACAGGCGGGGTGAGCCTGGGCTGGGGCCTCCCCAAGCTCCCCATAAACAGCTATGTTGGGCCAGGCACAATGGCCTACACCTATAATCCCCGCATTTTGGGAGGCCGAGGTGGGAGGATCATTTGATCCCAGGAGTTCGAGACCAGCCAGGGCAACACAGCAGGACCTCAACTCTCCAAAAAAAAAAAAACAATTAAAAAAATATATAAAAACTAACCATATGCCCGCCTGTAGTCTTAGCTACTTGGGAGGCTGAGGTGGAAGGATCGCCTGAGCCCAGGAGGTTGCGGCTACAGTGAACTGTGAGCATACCACTGCACTCCAGCCTGGGCAACAGAGTGAGATCCTAACTCAAAAGTAAATACATAAATAAAATAAAAAATAAACAGCTGTGGACTCTTGGTACAGAGTTTAGAGTATCGGAAACAAAGGGGGCCTCAGGACAGTCTAGCCAAGAGGGCTCAGCATTTCTCACTTTCCAAATTTTGGCTCTATTTGTACATTGTGCGCCCTGTTTTTTATTTAATATATTTTCTATAGATGAACTCACTTAAAAACTCCAGCCTCGTCCTATGCAACAGCATTCATGGTTGTGTGTTTTTTCCCCCCAACATGATTTAAAATGAGTAACATCCCTCTTAAAATAAAATAATGTCGGGGCAGAAACCCTTTAACCCTGCTCTCAGGAATTCAGGTCGGGTGGGGCCCTGAGCCCGCAATGACATCTTGAAGCTGTGACTTCCCATCACAGGAGGGGAGTCTGCGTCTGCCCCTCACAGTGGTGTCCACGTCTGCGACCCTGCCCTCAGCATAAGCCCTGGCAGGTTTCTGTCACGTCCCCTGGCTCCATCGTGACCCCAGAGGAGGGTACCAGCTCCTTCGCCCTGGTCCAAGCCGCCCCATCCTTCCAAATCTTCAGCTCTGCACACGACACCGAGCCCTGGGGATGATGGTGGCGGTGGCCTGGAACTCTCCAGGTGGCCTGGGTGGCGCTGACTCCACCCCTCGCTCTTCAGAGTGAGCACCTGACCCAGGCCCGGCCCATCAAGACCCCCATCTGTCTGGCCACAGCGAGTGGACAGGGATAGACATCAACTTAGGCAAGGCCCATGAAGCAGTCCTGGGATTTTTTTCTAGACCTCTAGCAATGAGATAGGTTTTTTGCGGTGGTTGCTAGAAGCTTACAGCCATCTCCATCACCTTTTAGAGAAAGTCTGTCTGAAAATGATGCCAACACCAAGAAATAGAGATTCAGAGTCCTTGTGGCATCATGTGAGCACCTGGATCCAGCTATATCTGATGTCCACTGGGGACTTTTCATTACATGAGCCCAAAACCATGTTGAATTATATTTCTGTTGCTTGCCACCAAAGACACCTGACGCTGGAGTAGAGAAAAAGGCCTAAACTTTGAAGCCAGAGGATCTTGGAGCAAACAGTAGCTCTCCTCTGGCTCTTCCACTCTCTGACTGCAGTTACTGTCTCTAAAACGGGATCAATAATGCCCACTGCACCTGGCAGGAAGAGTCTGGCAGTGCTTTGTGAACTGTGAAGTGCTGGTTTCCTGCTATTACTGGCCGGCTGCCCTGAATTACTCACATGGCCCTGGCAGCCCCGGCTCTGGGCGTGCACGAGTTGAGTCCCCCCCGAACACCTTCCCTTTCCTGGTCTCTACACCCAGCTTTCATGGCCCACCTGTCCCATCCCTGAGGCTACACTGGAATGTTCCAGAACTCCTGCCATGCCTTCAAGGTTTCTGCTGGCGCTGTTACCTACTGCTGTTCATCTTTATATCACCTCTTGTTTTTTTACTCCAGTAAACATGTCTCAAAAGAAAACCTGATATCGCTACCATCGACAGATGGCTAGAACGAGACAGAGGGGCGGTGTGGGCCACGCTGGTGAAAACAGGACTGTGGCGCCAGCCTGCCTCGGTCCAAACCCCAGCACCGCCCCTCACAGGCTGTGTGACCTCGGGCGGCTTACTTAACCTTTCTGGGCCTCAACATCCTCATCTGTAAAATGGACACAATAATAATAGCAGTTCCTCATAAGTCCTTGGGAGAACTAAGTTAGTCAGTGTGTATGCAGCATTTAGAACAGTGCCTGGCAAGTGGTGGATGTCACTTAAGTGCTTCTTAAACAACACAATCCACTCACCATGAAGCCAAATACAAGCAAACGTTGAAACCAAATACAGGACAACAAAGGAGGTCAGGAAATTTTAGCAGGATGCTACCGCCGGCCCGAGACTCCTAGGAGCTGGCGGTCCGGCGTGTGTCTTTGTTGAAACGGGGGCACTGAGAAGTGCCGTCTAAGACGTGCTGGGGCCAAACTGGGATTCTGGCCTTCTCCGCCATCGGGGCGAATGACGGGTCTTTCCGCCATCCCTGAGCCAAGCTGGAGCGGGGCTCACTCTCCCACTAAGGGATCCTGGGACCTTCAACACTGTTCAAATCAAGTCACTCGCTTCTAGGGATCATCAGCCTTGAACAGCCAAGACTCCCTCCTCTCTGCCTCCTCACACTCCCACAGCCCCCCCGGGGGGGGGGAATCCTCCCATCCCTTTTACCCTGAACCCATCCCTTTCTGGGTCCTGCTCCCCGGCTGCAGCTCAGCCCCCAGGAGTGTTTCCCGAAGGAAGGACAGAGGCGTCCACCGCGCCTTCCTGCCGGGAGGTCCTGGTATACTGACCTCTGCGGTTTCCCACAGAGGAATGAAGAGCACGGACATGGAGCCTGCCCATGTCCCGGCCGCACGTCCTCGGGCAACTCCCCCCTCCCCCGGCCCCTCTGACTCTGTCTTCTCACCTATAAAACGGGGCTGTGAATCTCCGCTGTGGGTTGGCGGTGAGCACTCAGTACATGGCTGCGCGTGACGTCCTGTGGAAGCTTCTGCGCCCACTCCAGGCCCGGGAGATGGTTCGTCGGCTCGTGGCAATTCAGACCAAAGCTAGGCCGAACTTCAGGAGACTCCGGGAGAGGTGGAGAAGCTTGGCGACAGGAAATTAGAGAGATGTAAGTGCTGCGGAGAATACAAAGCGCTTGACAGAGAAATGCAAATCAAAACCACAGTCACATGCCATCTTAATTCTACCAGGTTGGCAGAAACTAAGTTTGACAACACCACATGCTGAGGATATGAGGTAATGTGAGCTCTCACTCATAGCCAGTGTACCTGTCGATGATCACACATGGTCTGGAAAACGGCTTGGCATGATCTAGTCAACACGGGCATGGGCTCTCCCTCCTCATGCCTGTGTACACTCCTCTTCATCGGCCAGGCATGGCAGCTCATGCCTGTAATCCCAGCACTTTGGGAGGCCAAGGTGGGAGGATCGCTTGAGCCCAGGAGTTTTAGCCCAGACTGGGCAACATAGTGAGAACTTGTCTCTACAAAAATAAAAAATTAGCCAGGCATGGTGGTGCACACCTGTAGTCCCAGCAACCTGGGAGGCTGAGGTGGAAGGATCATCTGAGCCCGGGAAGTTGAGGCTGTGGTGAGCCATGACTGTGCCACTGCACTCCAGCCTGGGCAATAGAGTGGGGAAAAAAATGTTTGGGCATACAAAAGGCATATAGAAGACAATCAACGCCCATGATAGCTTCACCAAGCTCTGCCAAGTAGTGGAGACCCCTGAACACCCCCCTTCTCACATCCTCTGCCTGTCCACACCATTCAAGACTTGATGTTTATCATCTCCATGAAATCTCTTTACACTTTTATGACATGCTTGTTCACCCAAACAATAGGCAGAATTGTTTTACGTGGTCTTGAGTGTGACACAGATGGTGTTACTGTGCTTATGCTCTTCTTGAGCTATCTTTTTTTAGTCCACATTTTGTTTGTGGACTAAGAGTCATTTGCCTGGTTGTATGTAGATATAAATGACATTCTCACACTGAGTGATAAGATTGCAGTTTATTTTTCCACACTCCTGATGATGGATATTCAGGTTGTTTTCTGTTTTTCACTATTAAAATCAACGCTGCTATAAACATAATGCATGTGCTTCTTGTACACAGCTGGGCGCGGGGGTTGGGGGGAGAGGGGAGCCCACGGTGGAAGGATCGTTTGAGCCCAGGAGTCTGAGACCAGCCTGGGCAACATAGCGAGACTGTGTCTTTACAAAAATAAATAAATAAATAAAAATTAGCTGGGCATGGTGGCACACCTCTGTGGCTAATTTACTTTTTGGGGGGGTTGGATTTTTTGCAGAGACAAGGTCTCACTATGGTGCCCAGGCTGCGCTCAAACTCCTGGGCTCAAGCAATCCTCTGGGCTCGGCCTCCTAAAGTGCTAGACTTACAGGTGTGAGCCACCATGTCTGGCCAAACTGTTTCATAACATTTTAAATGTAAGTAAAATGTAGATGTAAGTAAAGTGTTGATGGAAGACTTTCATTTCTGGCTGTAATGGAGTAGCTGGTATCAGACCGATTCTTCCACTAAGAACAACTAAGCAGGAAGAAAAACTGCATGGGAGAGCAGCCAAGCTATATAGTACACAAGAGAAGAAAAATTTGCTGAAATCCTGCATGCAATTCTCCTCAAATCATTTGCCAAGTCACTGGAAATGAGTAGTACACCAAGAAACATGGCAGAAAGCACTTACTAATAGGTGAAAAAGCTGATAAGAGATTTTGGTAGTTTAACAATGCTGAGGGAAGAATTACAGAAAGAAGGACCCTGGTAAATACCCAATTATTTAGGACAGGCTCCTTGAGAATAAGAAAAATGATAAATTGTTTAGTCTTGACTGCATCAAGGTGATCTGCTTTGATGCTGTATGTCTTCCAGGAGAAAACTTAAACTTATCTGGAAAAAAATTATCTTCATCCACAGTCTCTATGTTTTATTCATAATGTCCAGCATTCAATTAAAATTACAAGGAAATTTTACAAGGGAAATCCAGAAAAAGTATCAAATGATCAACCACCAAGAGAAAAAAAAGACAACAGAAAAAGACACATAGGTGATTTGGAAAATGGCATTATCAGACATAATTTAAAATAACTATGATTAACATATTCAAAAATTCTACCCGAAATATGAACTCTATTTAAAAAGTGGAATCCTAGAACTAAAAATACAATAAGTGAAATTTGCAAGAACTGACTAAATGGATTGGGCAATAGATTTGCGACATCAGAAGAGAGGATTCGTAAACTAGAAGATTGATCAATAGAACTTTTCCAGATTGAAGAATGGAGACATTCTATAATGGAGTTGAAAGATTCTTATTGTCCAGTGGGATCTTAATGCTTGAACACAATGCGTTTCTCATGTGTTTGCAGAGATGCTGGTGTCAACAGATCTACCGCACTGCCAGGCATATCAAAGTATAGCACATAAGATTATGTATGGTACATAATACTTGATAATGATAACAAACAACTATGTTACTGGTTTATGTGTTCACCATACTGTCCTTTTTTTAAAAAGCAGGATTTACTGAGAGGGCAGAAAAGCTCCCACAGTGAGAGGGGACCTGAGGGGATTGCCCTATACTGTACTTTTATCAGTTATTTTGGGGTATACTCTTTCTACTTAATAAAAAAAGGTTAATTGTAAAACAGCTACGTTACTGGTTTATATATTTACTATACTATACTTTTCATTGTTATTTTGAGGTGTACTCTTTCTACTTATTTTTTTTTTAAAGGGCTAATTGTGAAACAGCCTCAGGCTGCTTCAGGAGGCGGTCCAGAAGAAGGCATTACTCTGATAGGAAATGACAGTTCCATGCATGTTGCTGCCTCTGAAGTCCACTGCGCCTGGCCAATTTTTTTAAAACAGAAAAAAGCTTATAGAATAGAAATATAAAGAAGATATTTTTCTACAGCTGGGCAAAGAGTTTGTGTTTTAAGCTAATGTTATTACTGAGGAGTCAAAAAATTGTAAAAAAAAATGTGTAAAATTTAAAAAGTTACAGTAAGCTGTAGTTAATTTATTATGGGAGAAATACACTTTTTAAAAATAAATGCGGTGCAGCCTAAGTGCATCGTGTTTATAAAGTCTACAGTCCTGGACAGCAACGTCCCAGGCCTTCACAATCACTCACCACTCACTTACTGACTCACCTAGAACAACTTCCGGTTCTGCGAACCTCCATTCATAGAAAGAGCCCAATATAGGTGTGTCTTTTTTTTTTTGTTTGAGAAAGCAGGATTTATTAAGATGACAGAGAAGGTCCCACAGTGGGAAGGGACCCGAAGGGGTTGCCCTAGGCATGTCTTTTAAAAATCTTTTCGGCCACGGTTTTACTGTACCTTTTCCATTGTTAGAGACACTCTGTTATAGTTGCCTGTAGTGGTCAGGGCGGTCACGTGCTATACAGGTTTATAGTCTGGGAGCCTCAGGCCACACCACACGGCCTAGGAGTGTAGCAGGCTACACCATATAAGCTTCACTTAATGAAGTTCACACAATGACAAAATCACTTAATGATGTGTTTCTCAGAATGCATCCTTGTCTTTTGAGCGACGCATGACTGTACGGTGTTACCACACAACTAAGCAATTCCACTCCCAGGTAGATAGTGAAAAGAACTGTAGATATATATCCACACACAAAATCACAAACCTTGTACACCGATGTTCACAGCAGCAGTCTTCATAATAGCCCCAAATTGGAAACAACTCACATGGTTATCAGTCGGTGAATGAATGAGCAATGTAGTATATCCATGCGTTGGAATATTACTAAAGGAATGAGCTGCTAAGACAGGCTACAACATGGATGTTTTAAAATGTATGGTAAGGTAAAGAAGCAAGACACGAAAGGTCACATAGCACACGGCTCCGTTTATATGAAATGTCCAGAACAGGCAAATCCATCGAGACAGAAAGCAGGGCACTGGTTGTCAGGCACAGAGGTGGGGGAGGGGCAGGGGAATGGAGAGTGACTGACCGTGGGTACAGCTGCCTTTTGGAGGGATGAAAATCCTGTGCAGTTAGTGGTAATGGTTGCACCACTTTGCGAGTACTTTAAAAGAGTAAATTTTTGGCTGGGCCATGCCTCATGCCTATAACCCCAGCACTTTGGGAGGCTGAGGTGAGAGGACTGCTGGAGTTCACAGGTTCGAGACCAGCCTGGACAACTCGGTGAGCCCTCATCTCTACAATAAATTAGCCAGGCGTGGTGGTGCATGCCTGTGGTTCCAGCTACTTGGAAGCCTGAGGCAGAAGGATCGCCCAAACTCAGCAGGTCAAGGTTGCAGTGGCCGGGAGCGGCCACTGCACTCCAGTTTGGGTGACAGAGTGAGACTCCAATTAAAAAAAAAAAAGAGTAAATTTTAAGTTTTGTGAATTATATCTTAATTACAGATTTTTGAAAACTAAGGCAAAAGAAAGATTTTTTTTTTTTTTTACAGACAAAAAAAGAAGGGAGAGAATTTGTCACAGGTAGACCTGCATCAAAAGACAGTGAGTTTTTCAGGCAAAAGAAAAGGGAATGAAGAGAGACAGAGAGACTATAACTATACATGAATATTAATGATAATGTCTCATGCAGTTTAAACTATGTAGAATTAAAATACATGGCCATAAAATACCAAAGGTAAAAGGAGGTGAATAAAGTTAAAGGCTGCTATACAAGGAGGCTTCAAAAAGTTCACAGAAAAAAAGGAAATTAAAAGGCTCACAAATATATAAATTTTATTTCTCAACATAAGCTCCATCAAGGCCAAGACACTTTTGTCAATGATGAAATCGTTCATTTAGTCCATCCCTAAGTAACTGAGGTTCTTGGAAATGTAGCCATATTGACACTTTTTTTTAAACATTATTAACTGAAGAAGAATGAGTGCCCTTAAAAGGTTTTTTTTCTAAGATTAGGAAACAAAAAGAAGTCATAAGGAGCCAAGTCAGAACTTTATGGTGGATGCCTACTGATTTATCATAGAAACTTTTTCCAAAGTTCCCTTGTTTGATGAGAGGAGTGAGCAACAAGAACATTGTCATGGTGGAGA